TTAACTCCAAGCCTTGGGGATCAGGATATTTGCAGGCCATTCTTACAGTGAGTCATCTGCTCATCCCATCCTCCAGCAATCTCCTCTCTTCCCCCTCCTCACTCAACCTACCTTCCCTGAGGTCATTTCTGCAAATACTGGGTTGCTCATCATGGAGAGCTGAGCTGCACTTCCCTTTTAATCGATAAGTAATAGAATTGTTATCAGCACCAAGGGAGGATCTGTTATTTTATCTTTTTTTTTTCCCCGACACACACAACTGCTCTCACCATGCTGGGGCTGAGCTCACCCAGAGTGAAACTGCACCTACACAGATGAAAGATGTGACCCTGCAAGCCGGAAAGCAACAGAGGAAACAGGCATGCAATGATTCAGTTCCAGCTGCTCTCTCTGGGACCAGATCCTCAGCATCTTGATGACCTGGTGGTCCTGATGACCTCCTCATATCTTATTGCCACGAGACCCCCTTAGCACTTAAGTAGCCAACACCTCTTCAAAGTTCTCCATGCCTAGGGAGAGCAGGAATATAAGGGGAAACGTCAAGGAGGATTTTTCCTGGTGGTTTTACAGCCAATTATTTGCAAAGCTGGTTGCAGAGGCCTCCAAAGGACCCTTTCTCCTGATCAGAACAAAGTGTTCCAGGGTGATTTATATCCCCACTGTGCCAAGGATCTTCCCCCAGGCCACAACAGCTCCCTGGGGGTCTGTGGCCCCAGTGAATCACCAGTGCTGCCCACTGAGTCATGGGCCTGAACCTGCAGCCCGAAGCACTTCCAGAAAAGCAAAAGGAAACTGCAGCAGGAAAAGCGGGAAACTTTCTCATACACTGAGAGGAAATGTCTTTAGCCTCAAATCAACAGGCTTTCAAGATAAGACACTTCACAACTCACAAGATGTACAGAGCAGAGCCTACACTAACCCCTCACTCCGGATAAACTGCCCACAGCCACAGTCACCACTTCAAAGTCTGGGGCTGGTACATGTAGTAAAAAGGATGATCGTGTGGCCAAAAAAGAAGTTTGAGAGTCAGCAGAGCTTAATTTGGCCCTTAGTTTACCACAGACTTCCCACCATGACCCTGAAGATATTTCTTCATCTCTAGTTTAGTGTAGTCCCTAAGGATTTGAATGACACAGTGCCTGCCAGTATCTCTACCCTCCAGCAGCAGAATTTGTGCTTTTGGGTGGCTGTCAGATCCAGCAAAGGCTGATGGTGGCTGGACAGAACCAGGGTGGTGGCAAACAGCCGGGGAGCATCCTCCTATCTCGGTACCAGGCAATACCTGGGCTGAAGATGCCTCTGCCCAAGAGGACATTACAGAAGGCTAAAACTGGGTACCTCAGGTCAAAAACTAGTGATAAAAGGCTTATTAAAAGTGAATTAACCCTGGCCCTTTAGAACACAGGGGCAGGCTTTAGTCAAGAAACATCGCCTGGTTTTCCCCTCCCTTTTATGGCCTCATGCTGTGGCAAGGGGGTATTTGGAAACTCCTTCTCGGCGTGGTGCCGCTGCGGGAGCCCCGCGGCCGCCGCTTGTGCGGGGCTTGGGGCGGGAGCGGCCCCGCCCGGGCACGGACACGGCCCCGCTCCGGAGCGGGTGGGAGCTGAGCTGAGAAAACCGAGAGGGCAGAAGGACAAAGGAGCTGCCAGAAGTGGGGGGAGGCAGGGGCGGAAGGACAGGGAAAGAGAGGGCTGCTACGCTCGCTATGCTATTTATCGTTTTATTAGCCCGGGTTACGCGTAAGGAAAACAAAGAACCGCAATCGAAGGGCTGTAATACACGTGAGGCATTTCTGTCTCCCGACGAGCCCCGGAGTTTCGCCTCTAGGTTTGCCCTGCCAGCATCCCGATGTGCCCGACGGGGAGAAACCTCTCTGCCCTCGGTGGAGGGGCGGGCATCGGTCCCAGAGTTTCGGGTGCCCAGCACGGGAGTCCGTGTGTCACCGGGCGGAGAGCGAGTAGCGGTGGCCTCGTCTCTCCTCATATCCGCAGGGCTGATTTTGTTTCCCACGCAGCACCGATGTCTCTCCCCCTTTGATAATCTGCAACTTTTGCTGTTCTTTACTGATATTCTCTGCTTTCCCCCCGGCCTCTTAAACGCGTGGCGGGGGTGAGCGGAAAGGCATTTCGGCTCAGCCCGCAGAGTCTATCCGGGATTTATTTCCAGTAGGTGGAAAAGGAACAAAATCCCGGTGTTACCTCCCTGCCCTCCACCAATAATCAGGTTCACCGCAGGGCGAAGGAGAGGGAACGGGAGCACCTCGGGGCGGCCGCCGCCAACCAGGGGAGCTCTGAGGGCCGACCGCGCCGCTGTCCCCCAGCCCCGTGCCCCGGGTCCCCTCTCACCTTTCAGGAAGCAGACCCTGGCCCCGGCCTCGGGCAGGCTGGAGAGCAGGGCGTTGAGGACGATCTGGGCCGTGCTGTCCTTCTTCAGCTTCTGCCAGTGGCTCGTGTCCTGGTCCAGCACCACCACGGCCGCCAGGCGGGCGGCCCCCGCCGCCCCCTCAGCGCCCGGCAGCAGCCGGGCTCGGGCCGCCGCGTCGGGCACCACGAAGTGCAGCGGCACGGCCCCGCCGCGGGCCCGCCGCATCACCACCGAGTTGAGGTTGACGTTGAGCGAGCCGCGGAGGCAGGAGGCCGAGTAGGACAGGTAGGGCCGGCAGTCCAGCACCAGGCAGCGGGAGGGCTCCTTCCGCAGCAGCTTCCGCAGCTGGCGGCAGTCGAGGGACGTGACTTTCATGCCGGCCGAGGGTCGCGCCCCGCCGCAGCCGGGCAGGAGCGGAGAAAGCGGCGGAGGGTGCCCGGCGCTGGCGCGGAGCCGGCGGCGGTGGGACGGGAGGGAGGGACGGAGGCACCGCGGGGCCGCACCGAGCCCGGGCAGGGAATCCCGGCCGGCGCCGCCGGGCATTTATATGAATGGGAGGCAGGGCCGTGACGACGCTGCCCATATTAGGGGAGTGACGCGCCCGCCTCCCAAACATGGACATCCCCCGCCCCGCGCACCGCCCCTGGCGGGGATCCCCTCCCTCCCTAGCGGCGGTAGGTCAGCATCGGAGGCAGAGGAAGCTGAAAAACGCTGCAAAAATTCTCCACTCATCGGCTGGGGCTCATCCCGACATCATCCCCGCCCCCTCCCCAGAGCGTCAGGAGACCAGGGAAGCGTGCCGGGGAACGGAGGAGAAGGAAGGGAGAGAGAGACAGGGAGGAAGGAAGGAAGGAAAGAAGGAAGGACAGCGCTGGGGCAGGCTTCTCGCACCAGGTTGCAAATGGAATTTCAGTTCCCTTTATTCCCCCCTCACTGTGTATCCTCACCCCCAGAAAAGCCTGAGCCCAGGCAGACCTGCCTGCGAGAGCTCTGCTGCTCACGGGATGGGCGATGCCCTAGATCCCCTCGGACAGAGTTGGGTCCCCTGCTTAGGCCACGGTTTGCATTAAGGCAGCTTCAACAACTGAGTGATCAACATGAACTGCCTGGGGAACAACCCCGAGGATGCTGTTACTTAGCCCAAGGTTTACAACCTAAGGAACAACAAGTAGTGGACTGAGACAAAGCAAGACGAGCCATTTCTGCAAAATCTGAGAATGCTCTGAAGCCAGAGGGACGGGGATGAGAGGGCCACTTGCAATACAAAAATTGCTGGTTTGGCTGTTTGACTGGAGGGTCCCTTTCCCTGTGGCTGCAAGATTGTGTCTCAAGGACTTGCAAGACTTACACCACACACTGCTGACTGTGCCTGTGTCCAGAAGTCACGACACTAAGACACACAGGAATTAGGAAATTTGACACTTGCCCTTTCATTGTAGATGGTTTTGTAAAGGCACCAAAACGATGAGTGGAAATTCCTAGAAGAAGTTAAGCAAAGGGGTGAACTCCAGTCAAGCTCATTGGAGCCCAGGTAGATGACAGTGGAGCTATCTAAGAGCAGGGTGTCATTTATTCTGATGGTGCCCTGAAAGAATGCTCACCTCAACAGCAGGCAGGAAGTGCCATCCCTGCCTCAAATTGCCTGCAGCTGAAACACAGAAGCATGAAAGAGACTGTGGAAAGAGAACGGTCAAGCTGATTGAGAGAATGGCAACTACTGGTTTTGAAGCAACTCCTCCTCCTCTTCCTCTTTCAATTCCCCTACAGTCCTCCCATCTGGCTCCTCTCTACCTGACCCCCCCTCACTCCCCTCCTCTGAGTCAGCCAGGGTATGAGATGGAACAAAAATAGAAGTAGCTTGTGGGTAGGGGCAGATGTTCACAGCGCATCTCAGCGTGGGTGTTGTCTTCACCTGGCCACTGCCATCACGGCAGCCTGGCTCCTTCCCCTGCCCTGCACCCCCCCGGGAGGCAGCTGGGCATTGTCAGAGCCACATGGCTGGGTGAGATCCACATGCCAGCATGGTTCCTGTCAGAACTGGATCACTACAGCTGTGCCAAAAGCCTTCACATGGACTAGATGGGAAATCTGGCATAGGCAGGGGTGCTGTGACCTAGTCCCCCTCACACAGGAAACCTCCACACCACCTGAACACAACCTGCCTTTCCTGCCTCTCAGCCCCCAGCTTCAGGGGCCACTGTTTCCTCTCTGACAAGCAGCCTGCTTCCCTGGGACTCAGACCCCAGTAACAGCTCAGCTGGCAAACTGGTCCCAGTGGGGCACAGGGAGGGAAGAAGTGCTGTGAGCAGATGCTGGCGTGCTCCTCCCTCCTGAGAGGAAGGAGGGGGCCAGCACAGTCACAATATCATTTCCTCTCAGGAAACCCAACTGAAATGTGGAGGGGTGAGAAAAAGAGCTTTTTCTCCCTCCACACTCCTGCCTGAAGTGATGCTTCTGAAGCCGGGGCAAACTACCCCAGCCCAGAAAATCGGTTCTCTGGGAGTACCTGAAGTTTGGCCCGTGCTGGTGGCAGGGTGTATATCACCAGACCTGACCTGCAGCTGACCTTCCTCCTTTTACACACCTAATGCTGAGCATCCAAACAACTGCCTTTCAGTAGATTACAGCTCTGCTTTTGTTTCTTAATGGAGTGAGTCACGACCACCTTTTTATTAGGAGAAAATAACAAGGCTAACAACAGCAGTACTAATCCTTCCTCTGCTGCAGGGTGCTGGATGTAGTGTCCCTGACTTCTCTGCCCACCAGCAACATGTCTCAGCTCTACTTGGAAACAGATGAGCAATCGGGGCTGAGCTGTCAGGGCTACAGGATGGACATGGATACTCTTTCCTGCTGGAGCAGCTCCTTCACTTGTCGGATGCTCCCAGACAGAAGAAAGAAAGGCCCTCGATTCCTGTAAATGGAAGTGGTTGAGTAAATTAAACCACTCTCTGCTTTAGGTAGGAAACTCCCCTCCTCCCTGCAGCATTTTACATCATTCCCCTTGGTTCTGCTGCATCTCTGCTCCTCCTCCCGCTTCCCCTGATAATCTCCCAGGCTCTTTTGGCCTTTGTCTTGGGCTTTTATCGGGACTTTCAGATCAGCTGGTCCTTTCCTTTTCTTCCAGGCTGTGTTTCCCCTAACCTAACTCATTCTTCGCTTCCCCCCTCCCCACCTCCTCTCGGCTCTTTGTTTCTGCCTGTTCTCAGTGCTGCAAGGGAAACTTTCTGCTGCAGCTGGGGAGTGGTCAGCCCATCTCCCGAGGGGTGGCGGCTGGACCTCCACCCAAGGGAACAGCATCCAGAAGGTATTGCCCAAGAGTAAAAAAAAAAGCCTTTTGGAGAGAATAAAACTCAAAACGAATTTAAAAAGGAGGCTTGCATGAATAAAAGAACACCATTTCTTGAGAAGTAAAAGAAACAGGCTCAGCCAAGTTTCTAGGGCTTGACTTGCCTCACCTGAGACATGGGACGTCCTATCCTGGATGTTACCAATGTGCTTGTAACTCTAAAGAATTAAGACCAAGCCTCAGCAAGACCCAAGGTGAAAGAAAGCCAGTGAACGCCTGGAAAGGAGAAGACCAAAGGTCATACAGGAGATAGGTCAGGGAGGTGTTATAGAGAGTAACCTGAATGCCATGGGGTCCTAGTCTAGGGCTTGAGCTGCATCATATCCCTGCTGGGGAGCAATCCTGAACCCACATCCTCCTGTTGGTTGTGAAATGCAAGAAATTCCTCAGATGAACAAAGCATAGCACAAGGCAGCAGAGAAAATGGGTTGGCATTTCTTTAATGTTATTAAGCTTTCCATATGATCAGTTTCTAATTTTGGAGTGGCTGATGTCAAAACACTTACAGGACAAGCAGTGAGATAGGTTTGTGCCAGTAAATGGAGAGACTCAAGACACTGAAATTTATACCCAGGGCTAGGGTCAGCTGAGCAGTGGCAATAGGGGACTGTGAGACTGAGACCTCATTGGTGTCATGATTTGGTCACTCACGAAATAAAGTCTAGGATCTAAGATCAGATCATGATCATTCATCTCGTTATGAATTTCTCTCAGCCTCAACAGAACACCTGTTGCCAAAAGCTGATTCTACAGGGTGGAAAGCACTATCAGACACAGACAGGGATTGCCTGCGCTCAGCATTTCTTAAAATCAGGCTGAAAGGGAATCTCAGTCTTTGTCTGATTTTTACCTGACTCATGCCTGTGTGACTGTGACTGCACTGACTGTAAGCTGCTGTCAACAGCCGGAGTGAAAGAGGAATGAACCAAACCTCCTGTCACCTTTTAAAAGCCTCTGTTCTTTCTGTTCCACTAGCTGGTGGCTTAACCTTTTATACAGATGGAAGATAATTTTAAAAACAGGGAATCCATCTATCTGCTCAATCAAGTTTCAGTTTCTCTGCTTGCCTGATGTGGCCCACAGCACCGTGAGCCATATTGATGGAAAACTTGCCAGACCCAGTTATGAATGTAAAGAACCCGTCTTCCCATTTTCAACCTCATACTATCCCTGGGGTAGCTGCAGTAATTGCTTACATGGGAAAATTATTTTGTTAGTTAGCTGCCTTTAATGTCATTAGACAAAGCCCTTTTGTTCTTTTATCAACTTGCCAGTTCTCATTTGTTCTTTTCTCTTCCTGCCACTGCTTCCCCACATGCATTTCTTACCTTCTCATCCTGTCTCTTCCCTTTTCCTGGATGTATTTCCCAGGAACCTGCTCCTATTCTGCATAGGCTGATCTCCCTGCACTAACACAGCTATCACCAGCCTGGCTGGGCTTTCACTCACGTCTCTCAGCTATTCCTGCCTTTCTGTACCCAACTAACCTGTCATATTGCAAGTCCTTGTGTGTGGTTATTGCTTCTTTAGACTGCTGTGAGCCACCAAGTAACGTAAAATATTCCTACATATGCTGTTTAATTGGCTATTAGGACAAGCATATCTTGAAAGAATGCTGTATACTTCAGTCCAGGTATTTTGGAAGCAAGTCTTATCGTTTCTGAATCTGATTCCGTCTGCCTTGGTCCTTCTGACTGAGTCATTTCTTAAGCACCAGGTTGTTGCCTAGAGGCTATAATCACATAAGTATAATCCTCTGCACAGTGTGTGTTACTATGCCCACTCCACTGAGAATGAGTACAGCTCCTGGGTACAGAAATGACTTTTTAAGCTCAAAATGGAACAGCTCATGCTTTTAGCTGAGAATGTTTTTGAGCCATTTCAGTAGGCTACACAGATATAAGCAAACAAACACATTCAGTAAAACCCCATCTGCCTCTGTTATCTATAGCACTGCCAGTAACAAGAAAAATTCCCACCCCACAGCCCCTGCTTGTTTTCAGGGGTCCCCAGGCATGACACAGTCAGGACAGGACAACCAGTGGGCCATGATGAATACTACAAACCACCTCACTTACTCCAGCACAAGCATGGCATTGCACATCCCATGCCCAAAAAGCTCTTTACCCCATCTTTGCAAACAGAAAACACACAAAAAATAGATCTTGGCTTTGGTTGCCCTCTGGACATCACCCTAGATGGTGTTTCTGAGTGCTGTTTGTGCTCAGGGTGTCTAGAAGGCAGCTGTGGGGAAAAGGGAAGCAGCTGAAGCCAGGGGGATGGGGGAGGCTGGGGCCACCTGGAGCGGCAGAGGGGAAGCAGCTAAAGCAGAGCTCCCGGGTTGTCGGAATCTGTGGGTATTGGTGATTCCGAGATTGTAGAAAGTGAAACATGGAGGGCATGAAGAAGGAGGAAAAGGACAAGACACACCCAATTCCTCCATCTTGTCCCCTCTGAACCCCTAATCTAGAAATCTAAAATTTTACTTTTGCACCCGTGTCACACTTAATTATTACTCTTATCAAACACTCAAAGCTTGTAATTCATCCTGTAATATTGAAAACTCCTCTCCATGGACAGAGATCACAGACAGTGTCTCTGGGGGCTCTGTCCAGGGGAGTTCTTGACCCCCTGCCAGAGTCCCAGACCTGCCAGGGCAGCCAGAGGGAAGCCCTGGATTCCCACACCGGGTAATGGCCGGAGGGGAGGCAGATAAAGCAGAGCTCCCGGGTAATGGCCGGAGGGAAGGCAGGACAGCCGCTGTAGGAGAAGGGAAGCCAGAGCCGGCGCGGGGCTCGCTCCCTGCGGCTGCGGTTCTCCAGGAACAGGCCCAACAAAACTCTGTCCAGAAAGACTGAACAGAATCGATCCTGCCTCAGGGTGCAGGTGAGCCGGATGACCTTTCAAGGAGTCTTCTTACAAATCCCTGTTTTACAGGATTATGTGGGTCACGTTCAGGCACACATGCCTGTGACTTGGTAACTGTCCTAAAATTAAATGGCAAAGTAACCTGAATTAATAATATGATAAATTGATTTCTTTTTACTGAGGGTCCTCTCTGCTCAAAGTGCTCTGTGGTTACTTCAAATATTGTCTCCCTCCCCCGACACTGAATCATCTAGAGAACAAAAAAATAATTTCAATGATTTTTTTTTTCCAAAATAAACCCAGTGAAATCAACTTGCAAAAGAGAGGAAATACTTTACGTCTTTTATGTTCCTTTCTCCTAGGTATCTACTTACTTAACCCCGTTTAAACTTTGTATCAGCTTATTACATCCGGTGAAAGTACACTACAGCTTATTAAAATTTAAAGCTGTTACTCCAAGGGAAAACACTGAAAGCTCTTTTATGGATTAGCCAAGCCAGCAGGATGTGGCTTCGACTTTGTATCCTTCTGATGGCACGGCTCACTTGAGCATCTTTATAAAATAAACCTTCCCCATCACTTTGGGCCCATTATAGTTTTCTTTGCACCAAAGTGTTTTGTGCAAGTAGGACTACATTTCATCCCTGCATTTCACAGGCGGAGTAAGAGGGTATCATATTTAAGGTAAGGTAAAATGGAAGTAAATACCAGCAACAATGCCATCCATTTAAAAACAGAAGAGTTAAAAATAAGGGATGATACTTGCCATGCTTTTGCTCACCTCTGTCCTTAGGAAGAACAAGAACTAAGACCAGCAGGACATGAGCAATGATGTGTATTGGTATTATCAAACACACTGTTGTACCACTGCAGCACCTTTGTTTCTTCTAGGTCAGCTTTGTATTGGAAACCCTTGCCAATACATTGCTGCTGAATGTAATATGAGCCTTCACCACAGTTTCCTTCTGACAGAAAAGTCTGTGGGGTGACACAGCTGATTTCCTCTGCAGCTATGGCAAACGGCCTCTTGCACAGGAACTCTTGCACCAGAAACTGCCTTGCCCATTGGTGTGCAAACTGCACCCCAGAAAGCAGGGTTTGGGTCCTCAGTCCTGTGGTCCTTCAGCTTCAAGCCCATTTAATCTCACTTCCTACTATTTCCTCCCTGAAGCTTGGGAGTCTGGAAGAGGCCAGTGTAACAAATTTAAAAGGGGAATTTCCAGGTTTATTAAGAGTTTAAAGAGAAAAAACCTTCAAAGTCAAGCCCTTCCCATTGCCCTGCTGAAGTTTGTCCTAGGAAATGACTGTTCTGACAGAGACTGCTCACAGTGCAGGATCTCTAGGGCTACCTTATAGCCTACATCTAGCAGAGGGTCCCATCCTACAATCCTGATGAAGAAAGTAACAGTCCTTCAGAGCATGAAGAAAATGCTCCCCCTATAAACTGCTGCTTGCTCCACCCCTTTTGCACCCAGCAGATTCAGCTTTGCTTTCCTTTGCCAAGATATCAGCAGAAAGGTCCAGCAGAGCCAGTGGCTGCCATGCTGGGGGGCTGGACCATCCATCACCATCCTTCACTCCAGCTCTGGGGTGAGGGGTGTAACCTCTGGCTGAAGATCAGCACAAGGACATCCCATTTCATATCACTACAGCTATTTGCTGCCTGTGTGCTGGAGGTCCCACGGAATGTGGCTTTGGGGCTGCAAGCTTTGGCAGTCTTTATTATTCATGAGCTGTGAACAGGGCCTTCAGTCACTCAGCATCATGCTGCTCTCTGCCCACAAGCAGGAAAATCTAGAAATCCAGGGGTAGAAAATGTGCCTCAGAGCAAACTCACCATCCCATCAGTGCAGAATGAAGAGGGCATTCGGGCTGCTCTGGAAGCATCTGTGTAGGCAGAAGTTGACTCACAGGGAAAAAAAGGTGGGAAGAGAATGGGGCTGAGCTGGGAAACAATTTGTCACTTGCCAGAACATTTGTCCAGCATTGCTTACAGTGATACTGGAAGTCCAGTTTAGGAGTGGGTGGCAAACTGAGCCTCCATGGCAGTTGCTCATCTCTCTTCCCACCAAGCCTCTCCTCCAGGAACGTGGCACAGACATGAATGTTTCCTTTCCTGCACCCCTGGGATCTCTCAGGAGCCCCTTAACAGAGCTCTGGGAAGCACTGCTGTATCAGGAGTGTGGATTAAGGGGCAGTGTCCCAGTTGGGAAGGCTGGTTACTGGGACACGTCACTACCAAGACCTCAGCAGTACTGCTTTGGGAATAGGGACATCTGACACATCTTTCACTGGCTGAATCACTGACAGTTTCGGTTGTTTATAACACATCCTTCATCTACCAGGAAAGTGAAAAATATATATTTGGACAGATTTGGAAAGACCTTGGGAACCTGAACCCAAGGGGCTTAAAGATACACAAACCCAGGTTTTCCTCTAGAAATCATTCCACCAAGGGAGGTCAGTCCTAGAGAAACCTTCACTGTGCAGACATGGCATTCCTGTCCTACTACTTGAGCCTACAGAAAACAGGCTGCTCAAGCTGCCACTCCTTTTTTTATCCTAACAACCCCAGAAGTACCTAACCATAAGGAGCAACTAAAGCTTTTCCAGGAATAAAACACATTTGTGATATTGCAAGTCTGCTCTTGGGGCTGTGCCTGGCACCACGTTGAGCTATGAATGTATGGTGACAGGCACTCTTTTCCACATGGATCAGAACAGCACCCTCTGTGCATTCTAGCTAGCCAGAAATACCACCAGCCCATATAGGTGTCCCACCAAGAAGCACACACACAGCGTGACACCTCTGAGCACAAACCTCCAGAGGCAGAGAGGGAGAGCACAGAGAGATGGGCAAACAACGGAGCTTCTCAGGGCTTACCTCTGCCTGGTCCCTTCTGTTGGTGTGGCAGCAAAGGGCCCACAGAAGGGCAGTAACAGGCTGAGAGAAGCCTGGAAATCTCAGCTCAGCGTGGCTTTCCTGTATGGGGACTCTACTTTGTCACAAGGTTAGCATGACAAGACTGTGTGTCTTCTCCTGATGTCTTTTAAGAGGGGAGAAATCATCCTCACTACAGCAGGCAGAGAGAGCACAGAACATTTATTTGCATATTTTGGCAATACCCCAACATCATTCCTAAAGGCAGGTTTAAGTATCTGCTCCCCTCTCCCACTGTGGGCCCAAGCCGTCTCCTCAGGGTCTCTTGGAGCAGCACAGAGCTCCTTGCAGGGACCATGAACAGAGGTGTGATGAGTCCCCCCTGCCAAGTGCAGACCTACAGTAGATTTGGGACAAGCCTGTGGGATTTCTCTCTGACTGACACAGACTCTGCTGATATTTCCAGAGGCCTCAGCTTGACCAGCTCACACTTTGGCCCTTTCTGTGCTGCAGCTTTAAGCCCAGAGTGATGAATTTGAATTTGTGTGTCTGTTTTGTGCTGGCCACTCAGTGTGGTGTAGGTGGCTCTATTTTAAGATAATTCCCAGGTTAAAAAAAAAAAAAAAAAACAAAACCAAAAAAAACACACCAGGAGAGAGGTAGACGTGTCTGTTTCTGCTGCTCTTGCTGTGGGGACAGAAACCTGCAAGAGTGAGATGGTGTAGATGGGTACTGGGGGCAATCACTCCTCAGAAGGAGCAGCAGGTGGGCATCCCTGCCTCCATTAGCACTCACCTTGGCACCATTCACATCAGAGGCTGGTGCTGGACAGTGCTGCACAGCTCAGCCCCCTCCCTACAGGCTTATTCTTTCACAAGAGGGCATTGTCCCTGCTGGCAGGAGCCTGGCCTCATGATGCTGAGCAGGACAAAGGCTCAATTTACCCTGTGAAAGAGCTGGAAACCAGGAAGGAGCCAGAGGCAGCCAAAGCCCAATCTGAGACACTTTGGATTTTGGTGCAGTGGGTTGGTCAGCTGCAGGCACAACTGCTCAGGGCTTAGAGCTGCCTGCCTTCAGCAGGAAGTGCTCTGGGACAGTGTGGAAGTGGGAAGTGTTGGGGCTTTATTCAACAAGAAGAGCACTTCAGATGCTTCAGACATGAATATACTCATTTTGTGTTTCACTTGGCATTTACATAGAAGTCTCCTGCATTGCATATCCACCCTAGTGAAGAAGAGGAAAAGTGGGGCCTGATGTTTGGAATCATGTATGATTCTCCAGTTTTTGTGGCTGGCAGCATCGTGCCTGCTTCACAGGACAACATACAGTGTGCTGTTCTTTACAAATTATTTCTGCACTCCAAAAATATAGCAACTCTTGCCTCCTGTCATGCACAAAGATAACCAAGATAGGAATTATGGGGAAGACTCAAACATCCCTCTGAATGCAGACTTGCAGAGAGGAGGAGGAAAGCCATGTCCAAAGCCAAACACAGAACCATTTCTTCCAGAAGTCACACATATCAGTCAGTGACAGAAGAGAGACTCTTTGATTGCCTTCTTGGAGGTCTTTTTCCCACCACCTCT